TGATGACTGTGACCTGGGTCTCTCAGTGATGACTGTGACCTGGGTCTTAGTGATGACTGTGACCTGGGTCTCTCGGTGATGACTGTAACCTTGGTCTCTCAGTGATGACTGTGACCTGGGTCTCTCAGCGATGAACTGTGGCCTGGAGGTACAATCCAAATAAAGGCTTTCCTCTCCCAAGTTGCTGTTGATCAGAGTGGTTTTTTGCAGCAACAGGAAACAAACTGACATCGCCACCTGTTGTGATGTCCCCAGGGTCCTTTGGGACAATACCCAACTGTAGGTTCTTAGATGGATTTGAACAGACAAGGAGACTGGAGAGCGTACTGAGTTCTGGAGATGGCTGGTGATGGTGGAACCAGAGCATCTTTGGGAGCCCTTTCCCATCAAGCCAACTTTCCAGGATGGTAAAATTGGCTTCCTTTTCATAATTCCCCTTTGGTGAGCCCTGTGGGAATACAGGTGACTTCCCCACAGAGTGTCCTATATACCCTCGAATAATCCTGAGCCAGGATCCAGTCCAGGCCTCTTTCCCAGCATCTGTGTGGTCACACTCTGGACAGTGGAAGACTCTGCTCCTGACTGCAGAGACCTAGCCATTCCTGACCTCAGATTGAGAGCCAGGCTTGTGCACAAAGGACACTATTCTGAGAGACCTGAGACCTTCTGACACACTTCCAGGTGAGGTCTGGATGGCTGTAGGTGAAGTAAGGGTCCTATGCAGGCAAGTAAATTCTAGAGAAGGAGCAGGCACATAGCCAACACTGTGAGCCCTGCCACTCTGGACAAGGAGCAGAGCTTGCAACGAAGGAGACTTGGTCTGAGCCTGACTCCTTCAGCAGCCTGTTCGCCGCTCTGGCCCTGGCCTGTTTTCTTATGTGGAGTAAAAGTACGAGCCTCCCTGCTGTGAGACTGAAGGGTAGCACCAGTGTCTTACACACTGCAAAGCTCCAACGGAATGGCTCGCCCACCCAGAAGCTCTGACTTCCATTTCATTCCCTTTGGTTGTCAGACCAGAGTCAGGTCCCCCAGGGGGTCACTAATCTCAACATAGCCTGTGCTGCCAAGTCAGGAGATGGAGTGGTTCACAGGACTCTCTTTGACCACACCGGAGACTGACACTGGCTATTCCAGGGGCACTCTTCTTTACCCAAGGCTCTGATCAGGGACGGAGGCTAAGAGATGATATGGGTTTACTTGTACATCCCCATCCTGGGCTCCTCACAGGTCCCACAGGCACACTGCCTCCTCCATCCTGGGCTCCTCACAGACACCACAGCCACA